ATATATATATATATATATATATATATATATATATATGACTTCCAGATAAAAATTGGGAATTTTACAATGTTGATTATAAAATCCAAGTTATAATCACTCACTGTTTTTGACAATAAATTGAATGATATATCAAGGTTTCATGTACCAGTTTTGATTCTGATTGTCTTCATATTCAACAAATAGGATTCCTTTTTTATTCTGGTATTTCAAGTTTAACAAACTGAAATCCACATCTGATCCTGCATTAAAAGTGAGTTCACAAGTCATCTGGGTGCAAGTTATTGAGGCAGTTGGTTTATTTATATTGTAAGAGATGTTTCCAATACTTAGTCTGCCTATTTTTGCAAAACAAACAAGTGAATCTATTTATTTTTTTTAATTTATTCACTTTAGTTAAGGAAAATGGAACTTGAAATGTACATTAACATTCAATACAAATTTCTGATAAGCAAAAGACATCAAACCAAATGTTTGTGGCACATACAGAAAAAGACATTGAAATGATATAAAAAATGTAGGACAAAAAGTAGAAAACTAGTCTCTCTGTTTATTAATTTTCAAGTTTGCAGATTAAAATTTCTTACATGAAAATGTGTATGGGTTAGCTGTAGAATGAACTTATGTATTTTGTATCTTAATTCTGGTTGGCGGCAACATGAAGTATTGTTAGAACAATTTCTCTCTACCACAAAGTAGTCAAAATCAGCAAAATTATACAAAATGAGTAATTAAGTTTCACAGTGTAAATAGCAGAAATAAAACACTTTGAAGGAAAATCTAATGAAAGTGAATAAAAGACTTTCTTTCCAAACTTCAATTTATTTCATAGATATCATATAGCAGTTTCTTTCACTTCTTATATGTTCTAAATTATAGCACAAAATAAGTTTTAGATATATTTTACCTTAAAAGAGATATTAATATAAACTCAAGACTTTCTTTAACAAAGTAATTATATGCATACATTTTTCTTGTTTTGTCATTTTTCCATTTTATTTTGCCAGAAATGTATACATTACAATACCTCCTTCAGCAATGGACTGATTCAAGTAACAACAAAATAAAAAAAACTTGTATCACCAGTCTTAAAGACTTAGTAAAAATAGTACAAAAAGAAATAATTGAGAAATGTAAGTGTATCACAGTCTGTATTTAAAATAAAGAAAACTGAAAAGATCTACATGTTTTATAACATTAAACATCAAAATGCACAAGATGTGTTAGATATTCATTTCCATCAGTCTATGGTCTTAAGGCTGTGCGAGTCCAGAGGGTCAGCATTTGCTGGGTTGGTGAAAACTGCCTTCAAATCCTGTAAATATAACGGTATGACATCAACTATATGGCACATCAACTACATGATTTTTGTATGAACCTGTGCTAGATTCTTTATCAGGCATGTAAATGGGCATTTCTGTGGTATGAAATAATAAAAATTATGCCATTAAGTAAAACCAAACCTGTCAAAAATCTTAGCAATTATGTAACTTTCATGAGCATGAAATCTAGGTATTTTAAAATATTAGGAAAGACATCTTTCAAAAAAGTATAATTTTAGCTACAAATAAGGCTGATCAAAGGCTAGGTTCAAACAGAGGCCAGAGACTAGAAGTTTATATAAATGGTAATAGAGAGAATAATACAGTAAGATGCAATTAATTTTATACCAAGCCAAACTGATACTTAACCAAACAACTTTAAATTTAATAACTATGCAAGATATCTTAAGAAAAGTTATAAGATATCTCATAAACTTTATAATATATTGTATAAAATTGCTCAATATATAAGCTATCTTGTACACTTAATTAGACATCTAACAAATGAGAGTAGATTATATGCCCACCCTTTGTTTTATAATCCTGCATGTAGACAAAATTTGTGTGCAGAGACCACTTGTCTTCTTTCAGTCAGTGGATTTGACCTTTTGACCCCAAAGCACAAAGGCAGTAGGTTTCTTCCTAACCCAGAGTGTAATCTATCCATAAAAATCCGTCTAGATCTGTGATGTAGGACTAATATTATTGTGTAAAAAAAATTCTTCTTTTAGTCAAAATGGCTTTGACCTTTGCAATTTTTACTTCAAGATCATTAAGATTCCTAACCCAACATACAAACCATCTATAACATTTGGTCCAAGAATGTGATTTATAACTATTGTTATTGTGTGGAAACCTATTTTATTCTTCCAGTCACAGTTACCTTAATATTTGATCTTCTAACCCCAAAATCACTAGGCTTCTTGCTTACCCCAAAGTGCAAGCCTTATGCATGGCTTGTTAACCATAAATGATGAAAACTTAAGTTATGGTGTCATGAACATTTTTCTGTCATAATAACCTTAACCTTTAAATTTTTGACTCCAAAATCAATATGGTTTTTCACTGCCTTATGTACAAACTATTCACAAAGATTGTTAACTGTAGATAGTGGAAGTGGAAATTTTTGGGCAGAAAACATTTTCTTTTCACAGTCATCTTGACATCTAGGGTTCTTCCTAACCCAAAGTGTCAGCCATCTCCAAAGTTTGGTAACAGTAGATGGTGGATTTATTGTTGCAAAAATAAAAATTTGTAACAGACAATTGGACATACAGATGGACATCAAAACATAATATGTTCCACATTATGACAGTCATTCTGAATGTGTCAAGATATCATATAAAGTTCATAAGATATTGTCACCTTCAAGATATCCTAAAATGTTTTTAACATTTTTAAGAGATATTTGAATTAAATCTGTTACTATGTTATTTATCTTAGAAGATACTTTATAAGTTTAATCAGACATCTTGTGTAATTAGATATATTCTATTATCATAGGATACTTTGGTAAAAGCTTAACTGTGTAGTAATATTCATATTTGGCAATGCATTTAACTTTTCAATTACATACAAAAAAATATAGAGAAAGCTAATCTGAAGCTTTTGTCCTTAGGCTAAGGACTTCATCAGCAGATTGATGTGATGGAATGGTGAGCAATGTTAACTGAGGCACAAATCAATGCTGAACATGGACAGGGTCTGTTACAACCTGATGCATATCTGGGACATTCTGTTAACATTCCTCACCATTCCACTAAACTATGTTGACAGTCAGTAGAGATCACATCAGTCTGCTGATGAAGTCCTTAGCATATGGACAAAAGCTTCAGGTTAGCTTTCTCTATATTTTGTGTATGTACTTGAAAAGTTAAAAACATTGTCAAATAAGTTCATAGGATACTTTATTTAATTGATATCTTATATCTTACATACAGTATCTTATCAACTAAAATAAATTTAGATATAAAAAAAATGTATTTAAATATCTTATGAACTTATTTTTATATACAAGATGTTCTATAAACTTGCTTAGATATCTATACTAACGTTTTATATAAGACAGATTATAATGCTTGTAAGATATCTAAAAAAATATACAAGACAATTTAGGGCTGTTCCAATAAAACATACATGGGCCCAGTGAAGGCACTTTTAAAGTGGAGTACTCACCAGATATATGCAATTTAGAATTTTCTTCTAGTTTTAATATAAATTCAATCAAAGTACCATGAAATATATTTGTAAAAACTGTCTTGCCTGGGTATAATGTATATTTAAATGAAACAGCCCTTAAAATGCTTGTATCTTACAAAGTTTAAAAGATTTTTAATGATGTCTCTAAGATATCTCATAGTTTATATGAAACATATATTGAGTTCTTTGAATAAATGATATTTATCACAAAAACTAGATATTTCAATAATGAAATGCCTTGAAAATATAAGATATATCATTAATTTTAAAAGATATGTTATTAAACTGTTCATTATACAAGATATAGTGAGTATTTTAATAGATATCCTAATGAGATATACTGTATATACTCACGTATAAGCCAAAGAATTAAGGAGAAAATAAAGCCTTGAAAAAAAGGGGAGCAGCTTTTCTGCAGGTCATGCAATTTTTCAAATGTTTACCTATTCAAGTTAGGGGGTCGGCTTATACATGAACAGTATATATGGTGATACATATACATATATGAGTATATATGGTGATATTTAGAAGATATCTTGAAAACTTACAATTATATTTTTAAAACTTTTAAGTTATCTGAATTAAAACTATACAAAATATTTTTTTAAAGTTTATACAAACCATGTAAAGTTTATAAGATATAATGTATTATTTCTTGCTGCAAGATACCTTCACTTAGAGTGAAATAATAGTAATATTGGCAAACTAGGTGACAGCATTGTTTGCATCTATTATTACTATTGGAATGAAGTATATTTTCAAGTCTAGTTACTCAGAACTTTGATGTAGCTAATGAAGCATTTACCAGTGACTTGAATGTCTGGCAGGCCATGAAGACATCCTGTATCAGTGGATGTTCCACGAGGACTCTTAATTGCAATGGCTGCAGACTATCACTACCCAACTCTCTGTACACAGTAGATAGTCTTTCCTATAATGGAGAAAATGAATAAATTATGATCATGACACAATTCATCTGGTACAAGTGGTTCTTAAACTGTCACTGACTTACCTGAAAGTTACTAGTAAATATAATTACTATGATATAGGTTTGAGACTGAGAAATTATTGCCAAAATGATTAAAATAAAAACTGACTTTGTTCTGAGATTCATTGATACTTTTCTTATCTCTTTTGCAAGAGTAGTCATACTGGAAGATGCTAAAGCATTATATTGTACTAAACTAAAAGGTCTTGGTACCAGTACATTTTCCAGTTGAGCAGTGCAAAAAAGATCTCATTTTAAGGTTTTTTTTTTATAGCAGCTGAATTTAATGTACATCAGACAGTCAGCATTTCTGATAACACAATGCTAACCATCAACTCTAGCTGAAATCAGAAAAGCAGTTTTCTTTAAATATAAGAAGTGCATACTCAGGCATGTACCTTTTAGAAATTCTAAATTTCAAGTTTAAAAATATTGTTCTTAAATTGTTATGATCCATCTCTTACAACTGGTTGTTCATACCAAAAGGACAGGCAGCCATGGTAGCTCATTTGGAAAAGCACTGGACTCAAAATCCAAGTATAGCAAGTTTGATACCTTTCCATGCCAGCATCAATCAACTGCCTCAGTGTGTTCAATGTATAGGCACTTAGCTCTCATTTCCACAGCATAATAAAGCCAATAATGCATGTAGACTGCCAGTAAAACCAATAAAAATGAAACAAACAATAACAGGGATTATCCAGCCTAACAAGAGCAAACATGCCTTCTGTTGATGAAATGAAGCAGTAACTACGGCTACCACTGCTATACCATGTACCTATTGACCAGTTAACCTCAGATGACAGCCAATCACATTTTGTCAGTGTGCTGTTAAATCTCCTAAGAAACACCTTTGTAGTAATTTTTCTAAAGATTTTGTCTTTGAGTTAGTAAAACATATAAAGGGCAACAATTTTAACAAGAGGCCACAGTGGGCCTAATATTGCTCAACTGGCTGAGCAGATAGCCAAGACATCTGGGACAGCTGAATGCTTTCTGCTCAAATTTCTTCCATAGCTGTTGATTGCATTTGCTATAAAAAAGCAATTATTTCAATGTTCCTCAAGTTTATTTGTTTTCATCCATATCCAATGTCACAATAATAATCCAAAATTGCCAGGTCACGTGTGTCAAAGTTGGTCAAACATTTTGTTCTAATTTTAATGAGATAAAGTTATTTAAATTGATTTTCTTTCACCTGTAGAGGTGGATTGGCAACATGTGTACAAATTTTAATGTCCTTTATGCCAAGATTTTTTGTCATATTTGGTCAAATTCGTTTGAGTGCATTTTGAAAAGAAGTGGTTTAAATGTTTTTTTTTTTCTGTTCAAGGTAATGGTGGCCATATTTGATGATGAATCAGCATCATTTATATGAATCTGACAGGTCTTCATGGCAGAATACATTCCATCAAGACTGATCAAATTATCTTCCATTTAGTTTTAAAGAAGCCATTTCAAGAATTATCTATGTTTAGTAATGGCAGCCATATTTGATGAAGGATCAGCATCATTTGTATACATTTGAAAGACCTATATGCTGAGTCTATCATATATGATCAAAGTCTGTTCAAGATAAGAAGTAACTTAAAGCTTTTTCATTTCTTTTTCTTTTGCATTTTGCAATAACAACCCTATCTGGTGCTGGATCAAAACAACTTTTACAAACCTGAAAAGTCGTCTATGCGAAAATTTGGTCAAATTCTGTTCAGCAGTCTTTGAGAATAAGTCCTTTAAAGGTTTTGCTGTTGTTAGTAAATGAAGCCATACTTGATTACAGATTGGCATCATCAGTCAAGGCTTGAAAGACTTCATGCCATATAAATATGCTTTCTGTCAAGTTTTGTAAATTTTAGTTCATCGATCTGGTAAAGAAATTATTTAAAAGTTCCTCTATTTTTAGTTATGACAACCATATCTGATTGCTGATCAACATCATGTGTATGAACTTTAAAGCCTTCTATGCTTTCTTCCAGTTTGGTCCAGTTCTTTTTAGTAGTTTTCAGATTTTACTATTTTTAGTAATGGCAACCATATTTTACAACAGACTGACATCATTTGGACAAGCTAGAGAGGATTTCATGCCAGGATACATTCTGTCAAGTTTTATCCTATTCTGTTTAGGAATTTTGGAGGAGAAGTCATTAAAGGTTTTGTATTTTTCATAATGGTTACATTTTATGGTCCAGTGGCGACATTTCTGTACATCTAATAATTACAATTTTACTGCCAATCATACAAATGTGAAATTCTAGGAAGTGAGTGAAATATCATGCTATTTCACCATTAAAACCAAATACTGCATTGTTAATATGTTTTTGAGACTAACTAATATAATAAGAATAATTAACTTTTTTCAATATTTAACCTGAAAACAAAATGGAATGAGATGAACTGCCTTCATCAAATATCAGTCACCTATTTTCAGGATCAGTGACCTATTTTGGAGATTGCTGCATATTTAATGCTACTACTGAAGTTATGTATAAATTTCTCAGATGTAAGAAAGACAGTTTTTGATAGTATCATAACTTGAAGCTTTTGTCCTTAGGCTAAGGATTTCATCAACAGTTTGATGTGATGGAATGGTGAGCAATGTTAACTGATAGTATCATAAACACAGCTGCCAACCCTCATGATTTTGGCATGAATTTCATGACTTTCTACAACAATTCATGGATTCATGTTGCATGCAAAAAATAATGAATTCTCCAATTCTCAATTATTTTAAATTTACCCATTAAGTGCTAGTTGTGATATCAGCAGTTGCTGAAATGGTCCAGTACTGCTAGTTGTGACATTATTAGAACTATAGCTGATTTATTGGTCCAGTAGCATGCATTTTAGAGTATTTTGCTCTCTATATATAAGAGTAGTTTTATAAATGCTTTTGAAAAAAACCTGGGCCTATCCAGAATTTGTTTCCATGTATGCACCACAAACATTGATTTGAATTACTGTATGGCATTGAATTTCAAAAAGGTCTTTACCACCAAGGAAAAAGAAATCTATTGCACAAAAAAGTTTAGTTTGGAATATACCAAAAACTGGCAGTGTATTCAGCCATCAAATACTGATATACATCATGCTTTTTGCACACAGTGTGCCACAAATTTTAGCATTGGGCATGGTGGCAGAGACGATGTAAGGGAGCACATTGGTAGCAAAATCATATAGAGGTTGGGAAACTACATGAAGACAGCTTTTTTGAGTGTTGGAATTTTTTAGATTGAAAGATTAGCATATATCATAATTTGTTTGTGATCACAGTTTTCCACACATGCACAGACACCACTAATTGTTCACCATCCAAAGTTTTATCTTCTGGATTAATACCATTTTACAATTAAGCTACACTGCAGTTAAAATGTGTTTAACTCCAAGGGAAAAGATTTGTATTCCACAAAAAGTGAAGTATAGATTTGAGTACACCAAAATTTGGCCTAGCATTCAGCCATCAAACATCAATGTACATTATACTTTTTGCTTTGGATTTTTGACATGTTTCTTACAATTGGGAATGTGCACAAGGACTGGTATTGTTGCTTACAATTTACCTGTCATGCATGTACCATGTAGTAATATTATTATATAGAACATGTATGACAGATAAATTGTAAGCAATGATACAAGCCCCAGTGGGCAAGTGGCAGAATGATGTGAAAAAGCACACTGCTGTATCACCTGCAGCAGATTTCAGTGTTGGAATACTATAAGCCACCTACTCAAGTCCTGCATGCTACCGGTGCTGAAGCATTGTTTGTGAGCTTTCTTGTGGAACATAACCTGTCTTTTGAGATCTGCAACTGTGACAGTGAAAGATTATTTCCTATTGTGAGGAAAAATATGACAAACTTTGGTGCCTCCGAACATGATGGGAATTTGCAACAATATCAGTCACCAAGATTAACCATCAGGCAAGAAGCCTGGACTGTTTTGAAAACAAATTTACTATGACCCGACTGAGGAAGTTCAAGACTGCCACAGCATCATATGACAAATATCGTGAAGTTTGTGTATATCAGTAAATTTGGCTGCAAATAAAATAGTACATGTAATCAGTGTAAAAAATATGTTTTGGTTTTATTTTGGGATTTTCATATCATGCAGTACTGATCATCAAAATAGATGGAGTTAGTGTCATGATATAAGTTTTCACTAATTGCATTCAAAATTCACTTATTTTTATCCCACTTTTCACTAACTGTGAGTCTGTAGGGTTGGAAGCTCTGCATAAAGTACAATGAAAATTTGCTTTAAACTTTATTTTACTTACAGAGCCAGGACAATACCTGATGATGATCTTGTTTACCATTAACAAAGATATGTTTGTGTGTGTGTGTATATATATATATATATATATATATATATACACACCAGTAAATGGATCAAAAAGATCTTACCCTAGAAGTTGCATCTTCAGGATCAGCTGTGACACTAAACCTATGGCTGTCTCCTTTAGCACTTTCCCCATGATGTAGGACCCTATATAGGGCCTCCAGGGGAACTCTAGCATCTACTGCCTCAGGGGGAATGTCATCTGGCACTGGGGGTGGGGGGCTGAAGTGCTCAAGAGGTTCCTCAGGTTCAGGGCTGTTTATCAAAAGATATTAAAATTATAAGCAATTTTAATGCTGTGAGCAAATTTAATGCTGTGTCCTATTTTCCAAATATTTCTATTTTAACCCCTTTTTCATCTCTTACATTATCTTCTGTTTGTTACAGCATTATGTCTGCAAGAGCCCTATGCCTGACATAAAATTAAAATGTGTCCATCTCTCCCTCCTTCAAACTGTCTCTCATACATAAAAAATACAAAGAATAAGACAAAAGTATCAAAGTGCTAAAAAATATTAGCTAATTAATACTTCTTTTGATTTTGCCAGATCTGAAATGAATTGGATGTGAATGCTGGGACTTGTAAGACTGAGATCAAAAATCTCTAAGCTATTTTTGTAATTGCATAAAAATTATTTGCTCATGATCTGCTGTGCTACCTAAAAATTAAAATATATTTGCACATTTCAGCACTTTTACTTTTATGCTTTCTAATAAATTACTTTTGAGCAAAGTTGTGCATTTTGTACCTAAGTAGTGTAATTAATTCCAGCCCTGATCTTGCTAAAGATCATTTCAATTTTCTATCAGAATTTGATATACATTAATTACTAACTAAAATCAAACAAGGGCAAATTTTCAAGTACCTAATCTTTATAAACGTTTTTGACTTTGACACAAACTGTAAAATTAAAATTGCCCTGGCTAAAAAATAAATGACTTGGTAACTGAAAATTGTTTGTTTTTTCATACTTGACTTCATTAATGTTACATATCATTTTACATATCATTTTACAAGCTAATTTTTTTCTGTAACCTTTGCAAAGTTTTGAAACTTGGTTTCTCTCAGAAAATTAACAAAAGTTGTCCAAACCAACCACAGACTCTACAATAAAAAACGACACTGCTAAAATAAAATCATAACCAAGTCTTCAAATCACCAGAGCATGACAACAGGACATGTTAATTTAAGGTCAATAACGACTTAAGTTTGCAATAAATTTATTAAT